TCTTCACCGCATTCACCATCTTCACCGTATTCACCATCTTCACCGCATTCACCATCTTCACCGCATTCATCATCTTCACCGCATTCATCATCTTCACCGCATTCACCATCTTTACCGCATTCACCATCTTCACCGCATTCATCATCTTCACCGCATTCACCATCTTCACCGTATTCACCATCTTCACCTTATTCACCATCTTCACCGCATTCATCATCTTCACCGCATTCACCATCTTCACCGCATTCATCATCTTCACCGCATTGACAATCTTCACCGCATTCACCATCTTCACCGCATTCATCATCTTCACCTTATTCACCATCTTCACCTTCACCGCATTCACCATCTTCACCGCATTCATCATCTTCACCTTATTCACCATCTTCACCGCATTCACCATCTTCACCTTATTCACCATCTTCACCGCGTTCACCATCTTCACTGCATTTATCATCTTCACCGCATTCATCATCTTCACCTTATTCACCATCTTCACCGCATTCACCATCTTCACCGCATTCACCATCTTCACCGCATTCATCATCTTCACCGCATTCACCATCTTCACCGCATTCATCATCTTCACCTTATTCACCATCTTCACCTTCACCGCATTCACCATCTTCACCGCATTCATCATCTTCACCTTATTCGCCATCTTCACCGCATTCACCATCTTCACCGCATTCACCATCTTCACCTTATTCACCATCTTCACCGCGTTCACCATCTTCACTGCATTTATCATCTTCACCGCATTCATCATCTTCACCGCATTCATCCTCTTCACCTTATTCACCATCTTCACCGCATTCACCATCTTCACCGCATTCACCATCTTCACCGTATTCACCATCTTCACCGCATTCACCATCTTCACCGCATTCACCATCTTCACCGTATTCACCATCTTCACCGCATTCATCATCTTCACCGCATTCACCATCTTCACCGCATTCACCATCTTCACCGTATTCATCATCTTCACCGCATTCACCATCTTCACCGCATTCACCATCTTCACCTTATTCACCATCTTCACCGCATTCATCCTCTTCACCTTATTCACCATCTTCACCGTATTCACCATCTTCACCTTATTCACCATCTTCACCGCATTCATCCTCTTCACCGTATTCACCATCTTCACCGCATTCATCATCTTCACCGCATTCATCATCTTCACCTTATTCACCATCTTCACCGCATTCACCATCTTCACCGCATTCACCATCTTCACCTTATTCACCATCTTCACCGCATTCACCATCTTCACCGCATTCACCATCTTCACCGCATTCATCATCTTTCACCGCATTCACCATCTTCACCGTATTCACCATCGACATTCACTTTGAGTCATATGCCTGAAATACGTGTCCAGCTCAGAACTTTCCTCGGACTCTCCCGAATCGCGGGCTGAGCCAGGGACTCGGATTTTCTCGGTCAGGAGGACGGCCAGGCCAGGCGAGAGCTCAGCAATGTCAGCCATCCTTCCGCAGATCTGCTGTTCAGGAGAACCTTCCTCTAATGTTTCAAGTCGATATTTACAGCAACAGAATCAAAGAAGTGCCATCGTTTATCAGACATCCTCCACCTCCAATCAGTGACTTTGCCTAGACTCAGATGATGTCATCAATCTGCTGCAGGCAGGAGGAAGCGTTTCCTTAGTCTCCCCTCCCCCAGTGATCAGACTGTGCATAGTAACTTTGTAGACAGAGGAGGAGGCATTTCCTCAGTCTTTACTCCCCCAGTGATCAGACTGTACATTGTAACGTTGTAGAAAGCAGGAGGAAGCATTTCCTCAGTCTCCCCTCCCCCAGTGATCAGACTGTACATTGTAACTTTGTAGAAGGAGGAGGAGGCATTTCCTCAGTCTCCCCTCCCCCAGTGATCAGACTGTACATTGTAACTTTGTAGAAGGAGGAGGGGGCATTTCCTCAGTCTCCCCTCCCCCAGTGATCAGACTGTACATTGTAACTTTGTAGACGGAGGAGGAAGCACTTCCTCAGTCTTTACTCCCCCAGTGATCAGACTGTACATTGTAACGTTGTAGAAAGCAGGAGGAAGCATTTCCTCAGTCTCCCCTCCCCAGTGATCAGACTGTACATTGTAACTTTGTAGAAGGAGGAGGGGGCATTTCCTCAGTCTCCCCTCCCCCAGTGATCAGACTGTACAATGTAACTTTGTAGAAGGAGGAGGAGGCACTTCCTCAGTCTCCCCTCCCCCCAGTGATCAGACTGTACATTGTAACTTTGTAGAAGGGGAGGAGGCACTTCCTCAGTCTCCCCTCCCCCCGTGATCAGACTGTACATTGTAACTTTGTAGAAGGAGGAGGCATTTCCTCAGTCTCCCCTCCCCCAGCGATCAGACTGTACATTGTACCTTTGTAGAAAGAGAAGGAGGCATTTCCTCAGGCTCCCCTCCCCCAGTGAGCAGACTGTACATAGTAACTTTGTAGAAGGAGGAGGAGGCATTTCCTCAGTCTCCCCTCCCCCAGTGATCAGACTGTACATTGTAACTTTGTAGCAAGCCAAAAGGTGGGAGTCTGCAGCAGGGGCTGATCTGTCTCAGACATGTGTGAACACCAGAAGTTAAATGATGGCGCCATTTCTGAGCCAACATCCCAATCAAAAAAGTAGATGGTGACCCTGGATGATGCCTGAACAAAGATGGCGCCGTCCTTCTGGAGAGGAAAGCAGATGAAGGCGTTGTCAGGGGAGTCCTGTGATCTCTGAGAGAGGGAATAAGGGCCTGGAAGGGTCACACTGACACATTGGGGGGGCGGAGGGGGTGGTATTTACTAAAGCTGGAGAGTGAAAATTCTGGTGCAGCTCTGCCTAGGAACCAATCAGCTTCCAGGATTTATTATCAAAGCTCCATTGAAGAAGCTGAAGTCAGAAGCTGATTGGCCGCCACGCACATCTGCGCCAGATTCTGAGCGCCCCAATTTTAGCAATCCCCTCCCCCACTTCAAGCGACAGGAACGACCAGCGAACTCTCAGTACATTGTATTATATTTATTGCCAAACAAATAATACACAAGAAGATAAGTTTATCAAAGACAGAAAATAAACAATAGAAAAAAAAAACAAAAAAAAACCAAAAAAGCACATCATTGAGAAAAAGATCCACAGACTCCGGAGGTCCGCTTTGTGTACTCTTTTCTTTTTTTTTTTTTTTTTTTTTTTAATTTAAGTTAAATGGAAAATTTTTAAGGCCCGTTCTTTTATTTACTTTTTTTTTTTTTTGCCTTAAAAGTCATTGATTTTGGAGTGCTGAATGCCGTATTCACAAATAAAATCACATTTCTGAAAAAATAAAAAAAAAAACGTAAATGTACGCTTCGTTTTAAGCAAAAAGTTAACAACCATTTGCTAAAGTCGAACTGATTTCCTCTGCATTTGAAAAAAAAAAAAAAAAAAAAAGAAAAAAGAAAAAAAAAAAAATCTGTGAGTTTGTTTCCTCCATAAAAAAAAAATATATATCAAAAGAGTTATAAACTTAATAAAAAGTTGAAAACACATTTTCCGGGACTCTGATAAAAAAAAAAATAAAAAAATTCTCAGTATATGCTTTGCTATTTTTTAATGGAAATTTGTGAATCTGTTACTTTAACAGTTAGATAATAGAACACAAAGGAAACAGTAGAGAAAAGAAAAAAAAATTATAGCGAAAACCCATAATTTAACAATAAAAGAACAAAAAAAAAAAAAGCGCATTTTCCAAAGATGGAATCAGCAGCATGCTAATAATATATAACTTTTTTTGTACAAAAAAATTAGAAGTTCGGGAGTTTTAAGTATCTTTTACAATATTATTAATTTTTTTTTTTATTATAAAATAAATAATTTATGAACGTCATCTCTGGTACCATCTGCTGTTAGCAAATTTTTTTTAATCCAACTGTGTTTTTTTTTTCTTTTTTTTTTCTTTTTTTTGCTGCTGGAGACAAAAGTCTTAAAGGGCACTTGTGGACAGGCTGGCACAAAACATTAGTACAGGCACCTCGTGACCGCGCATCTCGTGACCGCGCATCTCGTGACCGCGCATCTCGTGACCGCGCATCTCTGAACGCGCACCTCGTGACCGCGCATCTCGTGACCGCGCATCTCGTGACCGCGCATCTCGTGACCGCGCATCTCTGAACGCGCATCTCGTGACCGCGCATCTCGTGACCGCGCATCTCGTGACCGCGCATCTCTGAACGCGCATCTCGTGACCGCGCATCTCTGAACGCGCATCTCGTGACCGCGCATCTCTGAACGCGCATCTCGTGACCGCGCATCTCTGAACGCGCATCTCGTGACCGCGCATCTCTGAACGCAGTGCTTAACTGGCACTTGGGAACGGACGTGGAAATAAAAAATTCCGACTTCAACTCGTGACATTGAATCTGGTTGCAGTTTATTGACCATCTCACGTATGGCCAAAAAAAAAAAAAAAAAAAAAACTTCTTTTTTTTTTTTTACGTCTGAAGTTTTCAATTAATTCATTTTTTTTTTTTTACAAAAATACTTTCAGTTGAATGAAAATTCAAAGATATTAAAAAAAAAACTACTCGAGCTGTTGAAGCATCAAAGAAGCAAAAAAAAAAAAAAAAACAATTTTTTTTTTTTTTTTTTACTTTTATCCTTACAATGTATTTGTTTTTTTTTTCTCTAATATATAAATGTATAAACCCCCAATAAAAATGTAATAAAACATACACAGTACATACTAAAAAATATATCAGATAGAGTCTAGTCCTCACAGAGGATGTAGAGTTTTTTTTTTTTTTTTTTTTTTTGTAAAAAAAGTTTCTTTGAAAATCAAGTTGACGGTCAATCAAGTTTTCAAAAGTATCTTCTCTTGTTTTATCTGTGGAGACGGGAGGCGGGGGAAGTACCTTGCGGAAGGGCGCCACCTATTTTGCTGGCTGCCAGCAGAGGGCGTTGCGCCATGCTCGATCGGCGGTAGGTGAACTGTCCTTTTTTCGGCAGTCTATAGTCGATCGTTTACGGCCTGGTCAGCTGTGTGTAGACCGGCTGCTCCCAGTGTTGGGGGCTGTGGGTCTGGGGGATGGAAGGGACCCCCGTCGTGTCCGCAATGGGTGTGTACATGGGACGTTGGGTGGGGTTCATGTAGCTGAACGTTGAGTAGAGGCTGGAGCTCTGGCCGGCGGCGTGGCTGTAGTAGGAGTTCGATCCTTGGTGTTCGGTGTAGTCATACTGGGAGCGTGTGATGGTTGGGTAGGAGGACCCGTAATGCTGGAGGTTGAAGGAGGTGTAGTTGAGTTGCTGCGGGGAATGCTGTTGCTGCTGGTCGCTGTAGTGACTCGGGCTGAGCTGCTCAGTTTTGATGTGTGTCCTCTGCTGGGACTGGCTCTGCTCGTTGTTCAAAGTCGATAAACCGTGCTGCTGCTGCTGTTGGGGCTGTTGAGGCGGCTGCTGCGGCTGCTTGGACATCCAGGTGTGGCCGGCTCCGGCCGGACCGCTGGTGGCGCTGCTGATGCCGTAGCTGCCCGTGTAGGTCACCTGCGTGGAGGCCACTCCGGGATGGCCGTTGGGCGGCAGGTATTGGTCGAACTCGTTGACGTCAAAGGTCTCGATGTTGGAGATGACTTCGCTGCTGAGCTCT